TTATTAACACATCTACATTGCCGCCAAACGTTATTTAGCACGAATAATGGATAAGCGTAATGTCACAGTACAACCAAAGAAGTTCAGTTTGGTTTAATGTAAATCCGATTAATTCTCGATACACTTTTCCTCGCATTTTTGAAAAAGTGATTAATATTTGAAACTGCACGAAACACTGTACTTTCAAAGTTGCAGGGTCTGGACATCAAAGAAAAAAATTGCCACGATTCACGACTTTGGAAACGGATAAATAATGGCAGTGTAACTCGTTTTTTTTTTTATATGCTATATCACTATTTTGTATCTCTATTATCTGACTAAATAAAGGACAATCTGTTTGCTTACTTTTATACCAGAATGCTTGATGACACCTCCAGAGATGGATTAACCTATTTTTAGGGCCCTCGACACTTTTTCCTGCCACGCCTCTACACTCGGGGTGTTATGTAATTTTTTCAAGAACTTTCAAACAAAATAATAAATGATAGGTATATAATAACAGACAGTTTTTCAAAAATATTTTATGCAGTTTCCATTGTTAATATAATTACAAACGTAATTATACTAACAATTTACAAACGTGCGTTTGATTATATTGTAGAGACATTAGGTTGCTATGTAGCAGGATATATGAAAAATGAGCAATGCCCCGGCCGGGAACTGAACCTCGGACCTCTCGAATATGCATCCTGACCACTAGACTATGAAGACATGCTAAGAAGGTGTGGAAAATACCTTATATACTTCCCCTTTTAAAGGGTGACTGGGAATTAGGAGACCCAAACACGAATTCCTAGTGGTGAAGAATCATCATTCACCACCTTTTAGTTTGGGTGCCATTGTAGAGGAAATTTCATGAAAAATTAACAATGCCCTGCTTGTGACTCTAAACACGGACCTCTCGAATACGCGTTGAGTGTGCTGACTACTACACCACGCTAAGACGGCGGGAGAAATACCTTTTATACTATCCCTTTTAAAGGGCGATCATGGACTAAGTGACCCAATCGTCAAATCCTGGCGGTGAAAAATCATCATTCATCACCTTTTTTAGTTTGGGCGCCACTGTAGAAACATTAGGATTTTTTTCAAGCAGAAGACATGGACAACGAACAATGCCCTCGCCAGGACTCGGACCACTCGAATATGCATCGAGTGTGCTGATCATTACACCATGAAGGCAGGGTAAATACCTTTTATACTCCCACTTTTAAAAGACAACTGTGGATTAGGGGACCCAATAGCCAAATTCTTGTGGTGAAGAATCATCATCCATCACCGTTTTTAATTCGAGCTATTAGGTTATTTCTATGTCAGGAAACATGAAAAATATGCAATGTGCTTGCCAACCCGCCAAGTTTGCTGACCACTATACACCACGAAGACATGCTTAAAAGGTGGGAGAAATATCTTATATACAACCCCCTTTTAAAGAGTGATTGGGGATTAGGGAACCTAGTCGCCACATCCCGGTGATGGAGAATCACCACCTTTTTACTTCCTTGTACGAAGTAAAAAGGAAGTATTGCAATCGCGAAAAGTTTCAGGCAGCATATTTCAACGAAAATATCCATTTTGACTGCTATCGAATGCAATTTATAGACGTTTTTGCATATCTGTACGTAAGGACAGAATAAAAGACTCAGTTTCCTCCAAAAAAATTTATAAAACTGCTTTAAAATGAATTCTGAAGAGAATTTTTCTTGGCGTCTGTACGTACGTGCGTATCTCAAAAACGAGTAGCCTCAGAACGTTGAAATTTTGTATATAGGACTGCTATAACATGTAGATGTGAACCTCGTATTTTGGTTGCAATCGGCCACACCAAACGTATATAAATACTATACTTATATATATATCCACTCTGTTACTCGGCTCAGTGATCTCAGTTTCTTTACTCTTATATGTTTGTAAATTGTACATTTTTTGCTTTAAAAATGATTGAATTATGTTGTTCTTTATCTTCCGGTTAAGGTTTTTATGCCTTTCGTAATTCTGGAAGCAATATTTTAGAATTATCAACAATTTAAAAGTTGTTTAAGTTGCCGTTAAGTTTAAATAACATGGCGGACATATTTGTTTACATTTGAAACAGCGAATAGTGATTTGTTGCCAATCTAGAGAGACTAGCTTCGCAACAACAAAGATAACGCCTTCATTTATTATTGTGAATTAAATCATGCTTTCTGGAATTTTTTCAAGGAAATAAGTGTTTAAGATTTTCTTAATTTTTTAATACAGATATTTTGAGCTGTTTATGTTTTTTTTCTCGCGAAGTGAGAACTGAATTAATTGAATGAAATACTCAATCGTCTGTGAAAATGGTTTCTTTTTGTTTTGTTTGCTTAATTTCTTTTTTACATAGTTCTAGCTTTATTATAGTATTTGAATAAGAACATGTGGCAACGATTAGATATTCTTTAAATGATATACATTTTGTGCATTCTGAGTTATAATATGAATGAAATATAATACTGTTAAGTGAACCTAGTGCCAGAGTGTCGCTATGTTAAACAAATAGAGTGAATTTTAAAGAATGCCTTTACTTTATTGCAGTTTATGCGCTGTCGGTGAAGTAGATTTAATTAAATCCAATAAGTTTAAAAGAAATGCAAGAAACAAATGCGTATAATTTAATATTCTGTACAAGGAAGTCATGTGGTGTACACATCAGATTTTTTTAGTTCGGGCGTCAGATAGACAGTTGGCAAGAATGAACCCATTGAACAACAAACCCATTGGTCAGTTATCCATCTCATCATCTAAAGCAACATGCAGTATATGGTGGTTTAAGTAAGGATATGGAAGAAAATTATCAGTAGTGGCGAGAAAATAAAAAGCATGTTATGGCCAATCAAACAAGTATTTTTAAAAGTGCGGATAAAAATACATCAGAAAAATTAAATTTAGCATTGAATAAATGGAAGAGCAATTCCAACTACTTTTGATTTGATTTGTTACTGGCCGAAAGGTATTCAAAAGCAATGTAATAGATTGTAACTATCCCAACATACATTTATATTAACTTCTTCACACATCATAAGTAGTCATTCCCTTTCTGAAATCATGATTGGCAGCTAACTATATTTTCAGTATCGAATGAATCATGATTTCAGATACATAAATCTCTTTCTTCAAAACAGTTTGAACATGGAATTTTGTTTCAAATTTTGAACTTTTAAAGTTGTTGCATGTAAAGTGTAGTTTACATAAAAATGGGTACATAGTTAAAAAATAGATCCTTGCACCAAATAGAAACTACTTGCAGATAATAGTTCTGATTTGGCAATTTGCGATAAGCACATTTTTGGAGACTACCCATTTCAGTTACAGTTGAAATTTCACAATTCCAGAAATAAATAAATTTAACTTAGGATTCCAAAACAGTTCCATAAATATTTTTAAAGTTTCTGGCAAAACCGATTTAATACTCAGAAAGCCAGATTTGGGGGGGGGGAATTGTACTGAAAGTCAGAAAAATGAATTTTATTTTACAAACAAAATCAAAGAAAATATAATGATCCATTTAAAAGGCCTCTAAAGATTGTTCAAATATTACTTATCCTATCAAAATTATCGTTCTCTGAAAAAGAATCACTTATATTTTTATGGCTTTATTTGTTGTAATTTATTAATTTTACAGTATAAAAATAACACCATATATAATGTGAGAATACTGGAGGGACTGACACCGTCCAGTATTCTTCACTGGATTCTCAAGGGGAAGTTTAGGGGTACTCTAAAATTGCAATCTCATTGGGGGGGGGTATACCAATCACAAAAGGTTGAGGGCTGATGATCTAAAGTATTGTTAAGCATCTTGAAAGAACAGATCCACAGAAAAAAATAAAATAACACATAAACACTTTAACCTTCCAGGTCAAACCAGTGCTTTAGTTTTGAAATGGATACTATATGGATAATCTGCTGAAAAATTTTTAGAATTATGTTTCTTCAGCTGGATGGATTATTTAATCATGGTAATGCACATTAAGCTTTTGATTTGCACATAAAGCTATCACCCGATTCTTAGGCAGATAGCTCTAATGTACATTAACATAAATGAAATGACTTTCATATGGACCCAATGTGGAGGGACTTTCTAAGAGAATTTAGCTCAGTTTAAGGAGGGTAGGGGGGACTACGAAAATGCCTATGCAACCAGTCTGTTTGCCAGTATTTGAACTTTTTTACCGCAGGAAACTAGTCCAGTTCAGGGATACTATCTATTTATTCATTGGTTACAAGTTTATTAATCTCATGTTAATTTTTACTGCATTTTTCATTATGCATTTACTAGATTTGTCAAGAAATGAAATAAAAGCAATTTATTTTTTCCAAGCATGTGGAATTTTGCCAAGAAATCACGAGTGTTCCAATTCTTACACAATGAAAAAACTGTACTTCACATATGTGCAACTGAAATGTAATATTAACAGCTGCCAAATGCAAGATAAGAACTGAATAGTGATTAACTTCCTATTAAATTTAGCAGAATTCATACAAAGGTTCCACTCAACTATTACTGTACTACTTGACAGAAGATAACTGAAAATGTAATGATAACATCTAATCACAAAATGTTAGAAGACTAAAAAGTAAAACGTGGTTCAGTGAAAATTATTTGCCTTCTTATTTAGCAGAATTCACATGAAAATAGAAGCAAGCTGAGGAAAAGATTTAAAATATATATATATATCTTGTGTTTGCTAGATAATACCTATTGAAAATTTTAAAAACTGTTGCATCAATCAACTGAAGTCAAAAATATATTTCATTGCTGAAAGACATAACAGAGTACCAGCAATGGGTTACTAATAACCAAGTACTGATGATATAAATTTATACGCAGAATGTCAAAATTGTTTGCCCATGTTTAAAATCCTAATAATTTCTCTTTATTCATAAATGTAAGAAGGAATTTTAATCTTATGGTTTAAAAGAATTCTGAAAAACATAACATTATGTTACAAATGATAGAAAGTTAGAGTATCAAGATATCAATTGGTAATTATCTTTATTTATGTTACAATTTTGTACATTTCACATATTTATATCACCTAAAAAATTAAAACCAGGCTACTCAAAAATAGCCAAAGTTTATATGATAAGTACAAACGTTTCATACAGTATCTTAAAAATTATCCAGAAGAAAAACTAATGCTATTTTTTACAACAAAAATAATTTTATTAAATATCTGCATCAAAAAGCATTTCTAAATATTAATAATTTAAATTTGCTTCATGGATTGCTGCATGACTGCTATAATCCTGTTTGGCTAACACTTGTTGACAAAAATCACATACTATAACAATATTGTTTATATTGCTTTTGGAAATCACATCGCCATTACTAAGACTTTTCAGAAAATTTTTATGGACGGTAAGTAATTCTTGTTGCTTCTTTATATCTGGTAATAATACAACCAATTCAGGAAAGATTTCTATGAAACCTTTTTCTCCTAGAATTTCTAGGCACTTAGGATAATATTCTGCAGCTGATATAATGTTTTGTCTGAATTTTCCAGAAAGCACTTTAAATTCATTAAATAAAGTTTTCTGATCACTTAGAAGTTCCTCTATGCGTTTTGTTATTGTGTCATTACGCTTTACATAATCTTCTGGGCGGTAATAAGAGATTTCGTGTAGATCAGGTGATATACCATTCATTTTTACCTGCTTTGGTATTACTAACTGTCTTGCAATTGAACTTAAAGATATGTTCAAAGGTTCAGAGTTAAAAGCTGCATTTGCATTAACATTAAAGCCTGGTGGAGTTCTTTTTCTGGGAGCATTAAATCCTGGTGGCTGTTTAATTGGCTCACTTGGTGCCAAAGGTGGAAAATCATCTGGAGCAAATGATACCTTCTGCTCCCATGGATTATCTTCCACATAATGAGATCTTACAGATGCATCCGAGTGTAGCAAGTTTTTCTTAAAAGGATCTGGCTTGTCATCACTTTGTTTTTTGTTTAGATATGGAAACGAATAAGGATTTAATTCAGCTTGGTCCATCTCTTCTCTTACACCATTAATTTTATTATCCATTGCAAATCCCTTATTTTGTTTCTTCTTCTTGGATTTGCTTTTAATAACAACAAACTGTTCACCAAGAATGGGTTTATTGGGTTCAATTGCACTAGATGTGGGATGAGAAACCTGATTTAGTACTGTTGTAGTTATGGAAGTATTGATTGGAGTAATGGTTTCAGGCTGAGTTCTCCTAACTTCAAGTTTTGGAAATTCATTTTCAAAGTTGGAATTTTCTTTCTTTGGTATCCATTTTGGCACTTGACTTTTGCTTTTATCACTTGAGTTCTGAACATCATCAATGGGTTTTCTATCTCGAAATGAACTATGCAAAGGCGTACTTGTTTGCGATAACTGAATTGATACATTAGATGTTCGCATTGGAACATTATTTTGTCTATTAATACTCAAATTAATTTTTCTGCCTTGACTGTTGGGCATCTCGGATGTAACGGCCACTGTTGTAGAACACAGTGCAGGAAAATCTTCAGGTGAAATTTTACCATTTCTTGCTGCTGCTGATGAATTTCGACCATAGGATTGTACAGTAAAAGAATTCATATGGGTACTAGCATTAGTAGTTCTGAGAGTAGCAGCACTTCTAGCTATGTCATCTTCAGATAGGTATGGAAATTCTTGAGTAGACTGAGTGTCTAAATTTTCAGTTTCTGCTTGAGCTTGAGCCTTGTTATCCCTGAAATTTTTTTTTATTAACTTCCAAATATTTATAAACATACAACAAATAGTTCTTTTTCAAAGATTCAGAAAATAATTAAATTTCATAATATATATATATACATATGTAGATTATATTTTATATTAAATTTCATTAAACATGATTTGATAAGATGAATTTAATGTAAGATACATTTTAAAATAGTTATCTCTATTTGTATCCTTTTTTATGGTGTTTTTAAAACAAATCATATCATTGAAAAAATAAAAATTATATCAAAATAGATATTTTACTGACATAAAGCACTTAACGTTGTGCATGTTTTTATGAAAGATTTTCAGCAGAAAGTTGAGTTTAATTACACATATGGAAATCACTGAAAGGAAATCAAGGATAAGAGAAATTATCATGCAAACAACAGAGTAATTTTGTAATTTCAAAAAGTCTCAATATCAAAACCAGTACCCCACGAGATTTATATATTTCTCAGTTACACAATTAACTGGCACATGAGGTTAAAATGAAGTTAAAACAAGGTAAAAAATCTAGGCCAACATACCAGAACTATGTTTAAATACAAATAAAAGTTCAGGAGCTTTCACAGATGAGCTTTCACAGATGACCTGTCTGCTTCGTATGCTAAAGGGCTTACCACATCAATCATTTTTTATTGTTTTGCACAGGGTTGTACTCAGTTGCAGTTCAGATTTATGGAAGATTGAAAGAAAGGTGTCTGTCTCAGCACTGCTTGGTATTTATTTCAATTGCTTCTCTACTTTTGAGACTGTTTATATGTCGGGATTGGGGACAAGACTGTTGTTGCCAACTTGAGCGATGATTTTGGCTTTGCACCATTCCATTATTGATTGTACAAGTTCAGTGAAGCATTTGACTAAAGATGTACTATTTTTACTGATGAACTAGTTGGCAGAGAGCTTGGAGATGTCTTTTACATGTTCAGCTTTTCTTTTCTGGATGTTCAGCCAATATATTCAGTTTTCAAGCTTGTATTTTCGTTGCGAATAGGGATACTATTTACATCCGAATTATCTACTGTGGCTGCATCTGATATACCTGATATTAACAATTTTCAGACGGACGGGGCTAGGATAATGGCACGTTTATCACTATATCTTTTAAATACACAGCAGACGTGTGAGGCGATTGGGTAATACGTAAAAGTTCCAATAAATTTACTATTATTTGCTGCTTGAATTGGGAATAACCTCATTCTTTGCTCAGTGATTTTCTAGGTGAGTTCTTCCGCAAAATTGGGAGGAAATTTATTGTTTTCAACTATTTGCAGTATGCAACTATATTCAATTTTCTATAACTTTGGTGTGGAATAGAATTCCTGGACACATTTCAGGTAAAAACAAAAGGCAGCTATTTTGTGCAAATTGTTGTCTGAACAGACCTCTGCTTGTTACAGCTAAAAGATCAATACATTTAATGCTGTTAATGACTTTCCTATTGATCGTAAACTGCAAGTTGGGGAATTTTTCCAAAATCAAAAACAAATAAGTTCATCTTCTAATGGTTTCCAGAGCATGAAAATGTCATCTATCATACCTCTTCCAAAAAACTGGTTTGCGGAGAAACTTGGAAAGAAAAATTTTTCATATACTCTGCATATAGGTTTCAGACAGGATAGGTTACATTGATACTCTCATAAAGTAACCCTTTTGCTGTTTGTAAGTTTCTCTGTTAGATCTAAACTCTGTAACTTAAGTATGCCATGATAATTATGTACAACATCCAAATTTATTACAAACATTTATGAAGCTTTTAATGCCACACATAAGTTTACAATGTTTAGAGCAAGAGTTCTCAGCTGGGAGGAATTTCATAATTTCAGAAGAGAATGCAATCAGCCTTTTATTTAGCTGTTAAGTATTTAGTTTTAGTTTATGAATATAAAAAACTACCTTTATTCAAGTTTTCGTATTTGTCAACATTTTTTATACTCATTATTTAATTTGTAAAATAATCTAAATAAGCATTTCTCACAATCTTTTTTACTTGCATACTTATTGGCCAATCATCACTGCTCCCCACATATAATTACACATAATTACTAACATCTACATGAATAGGTACAGCAATAACACTATAATACAGACACATTTTTAATTTTTACCAGTTATGAAAAAATGATATATTTTAGCAATTATACATATTTAATTAAATTAAAAAAATATGAGCATATTTAATGGGAAACTTGAGGCTGTATGGCAGCACTTAGTAATTTAAAATTCGTATCAGAAGATGAAAATTACAGCATGAAGTCCGAATTTACACTGAAAGATTTGTTTCCATGCTTTTTTTCTAAGTAACTGTGTAGGATAAGAAAGCCCTCTCCACTAATATGATTATGAATAATAGAAGAATAGTAACTGCCTTGTTGAATAATTAAAGATATTTTTCTTTTCAAATTGTATCATAAGTGACAATAGCTTATTATTTAATTTATCTATCAATGTCCACCAAATTTTTTTTTTTTTTCCCTGCATACCCATAAGAATATGTCACGTACCCCTTGGGGTACATGTACCACAGTTTCAGAAACACTAATCTAAAACTAAATAAATGTAAATATGTATTTTCCAAATTTTGGAATGGAGGATGGGAGGGATGATCTTCTAGAAGTGGTGAAAGGGGTGCGTGAAGCAGAAAAGTTTCAGAATTACTACTTTAGAGCCAATGGAGAAAACTAAACACAGCAAGGTATTTTTACAGCAGCATCAATGTTGCCTATCTTGGCTGAAATCTACAAGAAACAAGTAGAAAACTGTTTTCTCCAAGTCCCCCCTATTTAAAACATATTTTTTTGGAAAGTTTTAAACAAAACCTATTTTTTGCAAGAAGTATGGTAGATGACATTTTCATGCTATGGAAATATTCAGAAAATGAATTTAAAGCTTTGTTATCTATCATTTCAGAAAAATTCCCCCAACTTGCAGTTTGCAATCAACAGACAAGTGTTAATAACAGCATTCAGTTTCTTGATCTTTTCACTTTAATAAACAGTTTTCTTCAGACCATAATTTGATAATTGAGAAATCCTGAAATATGCTAAGGGATTCTGTTCCACACCAGAGATATACAAAACTGAATATCATTGCATGATACAAATTGCTGAATATAATAGATATTCTCCTGATTTGGGATAAAAATTAACCAAGAAAATCATTGAACAAGCTTCTACAGTCATTTCTCAAAAAGTAAAGTCGCTGCTAATGCATGCACAAATAATAGTAAATTTATTGGAACCTTTTGCTATTACCCGATCACTCGTGGTCCTGGTGTGTTAAACCTACAGTTTTTATCTTGTTTTAACCTTGTAAGAACTTTATTCTAAAATAAAAAATTTTCACAGTAATAACGTTTTCGCAGTCAATCATGCATAAACACTAATGTAGTGCTATCACCTAACAGACGTTAACGCAGCGTTTCTTAATCTTTTTAATGCCCTTTTTTCTGTTTTTAAGCTTTTTAATGTCCATTTTTATCACGGAACTCTTGGTTTGCTTCAATAGTATGGTTTTAATGTACCATTCTGTAAATGGATTATTTGCAATAAAAATGACTATTATTTCAAATTGCATTTTTTTGTTCAAAAAGTACTTCCACAATTAATTCAAAAGCTCTTACAATAACTTTATTCAAACAGGAATTTTAAATTTAAATTTTATGAGATGAATTGTGTACTGCTTTTCATAATTGCAGATATACTTACTATTAGGCTGTCTTGAATGAAAGTTGAGTCCTCACTCATATCATGTTCGGCATAAATCTGTTGTAGGGTTTTTTTTGGGGGGGGGTACACTTACAGCTGAAAACCCCATTTCACATAGTTAAAATTGGTAAAATTGTCAACACAAGTTTTTGACATGCTAGGATGTTCATTTTTTAAACTGCTTCAGAATTCCACTAATGGCATTAATTAATTTCTTTTTTCAATGATGAATCTGATAATATTCTTCCACTGGCATGGTCAAAGGTCATCCACTGACAATAGAAGGATTATTGAAGGTGTTAAAGCAACAACAATCAGCATAATATTCATAAATTTTCAGAACTAGTTTTGAAGAATAAATATAGAAAATTCTTCTTCAGCTTCAAAAGTGAAGAAGCTGAAGAAGGTTCTATAGTTAACCCTCAGAAACTGATACAGCAAATTTACGAATATTACACTGATTCTTGTTGCTTTTACATTTCCAATAATCGTTATTCCATATGTTATCTTAGCTCAAATAAATGGGTTTTCAATTTGATATCAAATCAGCTGTTTGTTTGGAAAATGCTAATTAAAAGCTTCACACAAACCTTTCAGATTCTTTTTTCTTAATAAATATCTCAACCCTTTCCTCTCCTGAAAAGACTTTTATTGCTGTGAAGCAATAAAAGTTGGAGAGCATACAAATTTTCTGAAATTCTATCTTTTTCTAGAAAGGAAGAATTTTTTGTGAACAGTAAATATGTTTACTTTTTTGCCCTGAAATTAATTTTTTAAATTTCAATGAGATATTCATTGATCTTTATAAAAATGTCACTTAACACAATTTTAAGCAGCCAATTTTAATCAAATAATGGAATTTAGATTTTGACAATATTTTAATAAGCTGTACAGCCCTATTAATTATGCCATTCATTGCCTTTGTTTCATCAGTATAGATAACAATGCAGTTGTTTCCTGGAATCTGTGCATGTAATTATTGAAAAAAAAAAAAAAAATGTTTGTTTGTTACTCTGCTTGGATTATATTCAGGTTTACATTTAGTTTTCTGAGATGTGATATTATAATAACCAATAAAATTTATCAATAAACAAAATATTTAAATAAACTTTCAATCAATTTATATTTCATAGACAAGATATTTCTTTATTATACATATTTTTTATCGACACATGACTATTATCATGGCTACTCGCAGCACCCTTTTATTTTTAAGTATGTGGCATTCCTCTGTACTTTTAAAAACTGGGGGATTCCCTCTATTTCAAATCTGTGAGATTTCCAGTGTGTAGCAATGATTAAAGAAATGAGCTGGGGAATCACCAATAGCGGAACTCTGGGTAATTCTCCAACATGGCTCCTTCAGAATACCAAAAACTGTCCTGATGGCAACTATTATAAATCACAAACTTGAACATTCGCATTTGCATCGACTGTATATGGAAGCAAAGATTTATTCTATCTTTAAATTTAGCAGAGTCATTTATTTTTATTGCTTCTTTTAATTTATTTTTATTGCTTCTTTTTTTATTGCTTTTTTATTGCTTTTTTCTGCTCTTCTTTCTTAAATGCTACTGGGGGAGGAACATCAGTTTTGCGAAACCCTTAATCTTCTTTAAAGAACACTACAATTCAGTAGAACACAATTTAAGAAACAATGTGTTAACTCTTTGTTTTATGCTAATAAGCTTCTGGTGAATTTTTATATACACACTGACAGTCAATGCATAAAACAAAAACTCCTATGCCTCAGATAAAATGTAAAACTCTCAGGAAACTGAACAATATATATAAATTAATGTATATAAATAATTATAAAATTAAAACCTGCACTGATTTTCCTCTGTGACCCGTTTTCTGTGTTGAGGATATCTGCCCCCTCTTGGACTTGAGCTGCCTAAAAGAAAAATTTATTGGAAATTTTAAAATATTTAGTACATTCAATACACATTACATACACTATTAATTACATAAAACAAACATACCCTTATACAATCCATATCAACTTCAATATTTTATATGCAATGGCATTTTCCACACATTTATAAATTAAAATACTGCACATATTTAACTAAGTTAATACATTTGAATTATTTTCAACTGCTCAAAAATTTACATCACTATCACATTTTTTATGAAATTACAAAAGAAAAAAATCCCAGCTTGAAAAATACTAAGCAGCTTATTTTGCTTAAAAACTTTCTTCATGGTTTTTAGAGCATGTACTGCACTTAAAGGACAATTTTTTGTTTATACAAGAAAATTTTTTAAAAATACTATAAAAGGTTGTTTCTAAAAATAAGCTAAATGTATCAATTTCCTAAGATCTTCAGTTAATTTCATTAACATATATTATATATAAATAATATAAGCTTCATTATTTGAAAGTAGTTTGACAAAATCAGAAAACATATCATAATTATTTTGACTAATTGATTTTATATGATTTTTAGACTTTTACAATACTTCCAACTCAACAAATGCTCGCAGAAGAAAATGGAGGAATTCATCACTAGCTGTAACCATAATTCAACCCTCATTTTTGCTTTACGGTGACTTCAAGAAGCAGAAAGTACTGGAAATATCTCGGCGGCGGAGTGAAAATTATACAGTCAAAAGTCGTTAATCCGGACTCGTCGGGACTTCGGCGATTCCGGATTATCGATTTTTCCAGATTATAGATCATCAGTTTAAATCTCGTAAGATGGCATGCAGAAATTCTAAAATTAAAAATATGAAACCGTAATTTATGAAAATAAAGAACAATTATGATCTAAAGGGTATCAAAATTTGCAAAAAGAAAAAGCTTAATATTTATTTGTTTACTTTATTAAACATTTCTTTCAATGTAAGTTGTTTAAGTTGCTTCATTTTATGTGATAATATTTTCTCTTTAATTCTATAAACAGACATAATTTCTTGCTCAGTTACAAAGTCCTGCTGTTCAAGTCCCGTTAATTGCTGTGCCGAGAATACCGACTAACTTGTCAATCGAAATTTTTTCGTTTTCACTAACCTCTCTGTCACATTCTTCATGTCTTTATCCATTTTTTGCAGCAATCCCACTTTTTGTTTGTTGGACATCGAAACATACTTTCGTTTTATAGATCCTTTGGAAGTTCCAGCATCGGAAATTCTATTTGACATAATCGAAAGTTCAAGTTTACTTTTATAAAATTGCTTTTACAGTCTGCAAAAAATAATAAAAGGGATCCAATTCGAAGATTAAGGAACAACGCAATCATTAACATTAACTGAAATAGATAATTAGATAATTTTAGCTTACACCGTCCGTTATACATTAAACGCGCAGGTGAAAACGTATTCTGCACTTGCACACACGCATATGCGCAGTAGTCAAGGTCTTACGCTCATGCGTAAAATTGCCTGTGCGCATGTGCCAACACGGCGCATGCACAGAAAGTTTTTAGCTTTGAGGTCTGGATTATAGATCATTCCGGATTATGGGTGTCCGAATTAACGACTTTTGACTGTATAAGGCCAGAGAGAGCATTCTGCTCTTCATTATTGTAAGCTGTTAGCTCAGCATGAGTTCTGAGTACTATCTCTGGTTTAGCTTCGCTGTTCAGCTGCACTTTGCATTGCATTGTGTTTAATGTTCATAGCAGTTTGAAGTGTAAATACTGATTGCACTCTGTGATATTGTGAACAGTTGCACAATTATTTTCCAGATTTCTGTATCATCAAAGCTGTGTGCATTCAATCGATTATGAACCCATATGCACACAACAACATTTCTTTAAAAATGGAGGAAAACATACAGCAGGAAAACACTCTGAAACTATCTAATGTAATAGGGAAAGTATGTGTCTCATAGGCACAGCATTTTACTTTCTAATTTTTAGCATTGTTTCATCTTATTATAGATGAAACAATGCTAAAAATTAGATTACATGTTATTATACATGTTACTTTAAAAATTCATAAAAAAAGCATGCCTTGAATAAAGAAAATAAACTATTCTTTCAATAATTATGATATTGAGAATAGATGCACATATATGCATAAAACAGAAATGTTTAATCTTACCACTTGGGCGGTTGTGTGCGTAAGTGAATTCAAATTCCAACATTCTAGCTTGCTTTGCTTCTGCTTTTGATTTATTTTTGAAGTGGTGTATGGCAATATGAGCTTTTAAATCAATTTCAGTTCTAAACGCACCTATAAATTTTTCATTAGCACATTCACCTTCTTCGCATAAATAATGATCCTTCCGAAAGTGCACTTTTAAATATTCATAATCTCTAAAAAAGAAAAATCAAATTTATTAAAAAAATGAAAGAAGATATTTCATAAAGCAAAAATATTCATACAGCAGGAAATAACTGCACTTATAATCAAGTTCTATCACTTTTAACAGTTTCTTCTATAAAAATATCCTTCACTATGAAATCCATCATTGACAAAAAAAAAAAAAAAAAAAAAAAAAAAAAAAAAAAGAAAGAAAGAAAGAAAAGACCTCTTTTAGAAAAACATTTAAAATAAAAGAAAGTTCACTAAGATATTTTTAGATATTCTATATACTATTTACTGCTTGAATAAGTGTTTAATCTTAAGATCACAAAACAATCATTCAAGATACAACTTCATAAGTTATGCAAGTAATAATTTTAAAAAGAAATTTAGAAAGATCCATCTTTTCTTAGTATCTTAAAACTTTAACAAAGATCTGCATATTAAAAAAAATACTATTATTTATGAAACTAGGAAATTACTTATAATATTGATGCCTCCCATCCGCATCACAAAAATGACAAAAATAATGCTCTCTTCTGAGATGCCGATAAAGATCATCCAAGTCAATGTATCTCTGATCACAAAATTCACATAACGGATGACCTCGGTGGGAAGTTTCATCAGGATCCCCTACTCTTTTATGTCTTGCTAAATTCTTTCTTGTGTAACACTTTTTTTCAAAAGTAAATATCTGCAAAAAAATGGAAGTTAAAATAAAAATCCTTAAATAAACATGTCTTTAAACTAATAAAAAATGAATAAACGAAGAACAAGAATATCGATTCCATTCATGCAAATAAAATTTATCCCTTACAAATCTTAATGGTAAAAACTTCACATTTTGAGACTGAATAAGTGGCAGTTTGTTTTAGCATATTTCAGTCTCATAATATGTAATTAAAACAACTTTTCTCGAGATCATTTTTAGTTTTATGTGTTATTAAAACACATAGGAAATAAATTTAATCTGATTTAATTGAAATTTACATGCGGTGGGAGAGTTTGAGACGCAATGTGCGAGGTTTTTCAGTGTGTTAGCTATTGGGATTCGTGTTCATATTATGAGGATTGTTTATTACATAACGCACCACTGTATCTAATTCAAAATTCATAAAAATGATTACATGATAGCATAGCATGCATCACAGGTCAAGTTTCACATTTTTAAATGCTTAAGATTACTCATATCAAATACTGTTGCTTAACAAGTAAATCATAGGTTCGAAAATCTGAGCCGACACTTTAAAAAAAAAAAAACAACATTTATTTTACACGCCATTTCTTATTCTACAAAATCTTAAATGCGACTAACTATCAAACAGAAAAGCAGACGTAGACGTAATGTATCTAGGCACGACGTGATCCTCATGACAGACGAATTCTTTAGGATTGCCACAGAAAGCAGTGTGTCGCCACAATTCTCCCACCTTTTGATTGGATGGCTACACACTCAAAACATAAAACATCAATATAAATGATGGTTATATAACAAAAGAAAATTACTTAATACTTAAATCATATTACTTGAAAACAAAATTAATACTGAGGAATAATACAACAATAATAGCACAAAAATAAATCATAATAACTAAAGACATGAATTACATTATTCGTGATTTTACAACTCTACCACTACTGGTGGTGAAAGGAACTTCTCATTTTGAGTATTATCTATTATTTTATCCAGTTCCAATCTAAACTATCCCTCTATTGGTCTCAAGAACTCTGAATTATTGTTTTTTACAAGAGCAACTCTTATGTTGCCATCTCGACCAGGGATCACCCAAATAATGCTAAATTCCCATATGCACTAAAAATGCTAAATGCTAAATTCCCATATGCACGGTTTTTATTTTGATCCTCCAGCAAGACAATTTCTCCTACAGAGAGAGTTTTATTTTTGTAATTTCTGGTAGACTGCTGTCTTAACTGCCCTAGATACTCAGAGCAAAATCTTACTCTTAACAATTCTCTCATTCTCTGGAGATACTTTGCTCTCCTACTCAATTTTTCTTTGTCCACATTGTCAATATCAGGTACACCCGACTGTGGAGTTTCATGCAGAAATTTTTCTGGAGTTAAAGGCAAGGGATCTTCAATATCGTCAGACACGTACGTAAGTGGTCTTGAGTTGACAATTCTTTCACAATCACACAAGACGGTGAGTAACTCTTCATAACCAAGAGAAGCACGACCTAAAATTTTTCTTAATATTTGTTTTACAATTTGTATTAAACGCTCCCACCATCCACCCCACCAAGCGGCGGATGGAGGATTAAATTTCCATTGTATTCTCTTTTCAGCAGCCTTAGAGCAGAGGCTGTCCCAGTCAATGGTTTGCAGAACTCTCTCTGCACCCACAAAATTTGTTCCCATTATCGGAATATATGGTGGTAGGGCGTCCACGACGTGCGATAAAACGCCTTAAAGCTTGAAAAAATGATTCAGTTGTTAATGAGGTAACCAGTTCCATATGGATAGCACGATAAACCGCACAGGTGAAGAGCACAATATACGATTTTCGTCCATCCTTTAAATGCAAGGGTCCTGCAAGATCACAACCCTACGATTTCAAAAATGGCTGAATCACGAACCCTATCATTTGGTAAAACGCCTGGGACTGTCTCACCTCTTTTAGCCTTAAATCTCTGACATGTTACACATTTTCTTATACAGTTTCTTATAGTTTTACGTGATTTTAAGATCCAGTATCTTTCTCTTAAATGCGACATCAACAATGTAGTACCTGCATGCAACAAAAATCTTTGTGTGCACTTAATATCAATAATTTGACTACTGGATGTTCAGAAGGTAATATGATGGGGAACTTAAAGCTGCTAGAGTCGTCACGATAAGCAACATTAGACTTAGCTCTTATTAGACCCTGACTATCGACAAATGGTCTGAGTCGTCTTAGCTTATCATCTGTTTCACCATTAAACGACTCTTTTTGTATTAATAACATTAAAGCTATTTCTCCCCTTTCTATTTCAGATACAGTCAAATCCTTAGAATTGTTGTTATTATTATTATTCTTACGTACATTATTATAAAATTTGAATATCCATGATAACATTCTTAAATGATGAGAAATACTTATAGTACCATCCAATACAATTATCATACTTTACCAACCTAACAAGAACTGTTTTACGTATTTCTGAATTACATGTCGCCATACAGTGGGGGAGGTCAAAGACCTGATTTCCTGTACACGATTAAAAACGAATGCTCCTCAACGTTGATTTTGCCGTATCCAACTTAAAGCCATTGAGGAGTCAGTCCAACAGAGAATACGAACTTCATGTAGGCCAATATCATTAATAACTGAAGACAATAACCTAGAACCAATATTACAAGCAAGAAGTTCTAATCGAGGAATCGTAATAGGTTTTAAAGGTGCTACTCTCAATCTTGTGTGTACCAAACTAACCTTTACCTTTTTGCCACTCTGTACTCTTAAAAAGACGCATGCACCATACGCACTTTTACTACTGTCACAAAAGAGATGTATACTCACAGCTTCATTAATAGATTTGAGACCTACCCATCTAGGTATTTGGATACTGGATAGCAAGTACAACTTTTTAAGCCAAAACCTAAACTTTTTGGTTAATTCATCGGGAAGAACATCGTCCCATTTAAGCCTTAAATTCCAAGTTTCCTGTAAAATTAGTTTTGGAATCAACATTACAGGAGCCGTATACCCTATAACGTCAAACACCTGATGAGCTACTGCTAAAACTAGTCTTTTAGTAACTGGGTCATCCAATTTTATATCTTGACTTATTTTGCAAGATAAGGTATCTGTAACTGTATGCCATACAAGGCCCAAAACAGACACATCTCCTTCCGTGGAGGAATCTTCCTCTGGCACAACACTTCTTATATTGGATTTCCAGAATCTTAAATTAAAATGACCCGAAGCCATAATTATTTGTGATTCATTTACAAACTTTCTCATTTCTATTTCTGAATCCATACTAGCCACACAGTTATCTACGTAAAAGGATGTTTTCAAAATCTCCGCTGTATGACTTAAGCTTTCGGGAACTACACTCAAATGATATTGTATTGTAGCGGCCAATAAATACGGACTACACGTAATACCAAAAACTACCCTTCCATGCCGATACAGTTCAACTTGTTCTTGATTATCCCTACTGAACCACATAAATCTCAAAAAGTCTCGATCTTTTTCCCTTATAGATATTTGCAAGAACGCTCTTTCTATATCTGAAGTGACACCAACGTAATTCTTGCGAAACCGATTAAGAATCGAAGGTATAATTTCAATTAAATTTGGTCCAGTAGATAAACAATCGTTCAATGATGGGTAACCAGGCGAATGAGAACTTGCATTAAACACTGGTCTTATACTCGTGCTACTATTTTCTTTAACAACCGCTCTATGAGGTAAATAATGTACACCCTTATATTTATTCTTATCCGGTACTTTTTCAATTATCCCGAGTGCTAACCAGTTCTGGAAAACGTCTCCGTAAGCGTCAAAATTTCCCGTAGTCATTAATTTTCTTTTAGTACTTACAAGACATTTTTCTGCTATCACTTTGTTTTCGGGTAAAAGCGAGCTATCCGACACCCAAGGTAATGCTACTTCGTACCTTCCCTCTGAATTTACCGTAAGAGTCTCTTCAAAATATTTTTGCGTATCCTCCTGTAACTGAGTTTTGGTTTTACTTACGGAAGGTTCACTAATACCCAAAACATCTAACTTCCAGAGATCACTTATACATTGACCCTTCACTAACAGAGAAGAAATTAGGAGGGATGCAGTATTTATCGTAGTTGGCTCAGTGCCAGTAAATTTACCCATAACAGTCCAGCCTAACTGCGTATGCACCGCGCTGACGCCGCACGTAAGGGGAACAATTTTTCCAGTTAGCAACTTACCAGCAAAATCCGCACCAATTAGTAATTTTATCTCTTTATCTACCTTACATGTACCATTTTCTAAATCACTTAATTTGATACCATGTGACTTAAGTTCGCCTAACCACGAACCATAATTTCAGAACAAATTTTGTTTTGACCAAGTACCTCTACACTTATATTTACTATATATATTGCTTACTTCAATAACATAGTTTTTATATACATTTTCTGAAGTCTCAACTCCACCAAAAAGAAATTGCTTAATTTTTGATTCACCAATACACTTACAATTTAACCTTTGAGCAACATCATTACATAAATATGATTTCATAGAACCACTATCATAAATTGCTCGTACAAACATTTCTTTAGAACCATTCTGAATTTTTACAATTAAAGTTTGAAGATATACATCTGATACCTTAACATAGTTATTAAGAATGCCTGTTTTGTTTTCGTCATTCCCTAACTTTGTGACACTTTTTGTTTTGTTAGAAGGCAAATCAGGGCACATAATCACAAAATGTTGATTTTGACATAAGGTACACCTATGTTTAGCTGTACACTAATTTGCTCTATGGTTTTTCTTAAGACACACAAAACAAACATTCCTTTTCTTAATGATATCTTACATTCTAAACTCATTAAAGAGCATCCTTACAACTTT